CAGCTTCAAAATTAGCAGCCCTTCCAGGTTGGGGGTGGGGAAGAGCCTAAAGTTAAATTCAACTCAGGCAAGACCCCAGCTGAAAGCGCCATATCACTGGTCTCCAAAGGTCCCCAGCCTGGTTGCTTAGTGTCCCCGAGCAGTGAGTGAGTGCATCTTTGGTTAGAGTCATACATCACAGAGAATCTGAAATTCTAGTGTCCTTTTGAAAAGCTATGCATATCTGTAAATGGCGTTTTGTGTGTAATTTCAGGGGCTCTTTGAAGGTGTGGGTGAGCTCCAGCTCTAGAGAATGGCCAGCTGGCCTTGGGGACAGTGGACTGGGTCTGTAGGGTGAGGGGTGGCGCCTGCGCTATTTGGATGCTTCACTGTTGTCACCGGCCTTCAAAACCTGCTTTCCCCAAGGCTCCCTGCCAGGTTGGGAGAACTGAAGACAGCTGGAGCCACGGCCCAGGTGAAGAAAGGCACAAATAGACTTTTTTTTAAATCACCCAAGATGTTGCAACTGGAGGTTGAGAAAAATGACAATCTGCGAAAAGTGAGAAAGAAAGGTCTCCCCGAGTATCAGTTTGGTGCCCACAGTGTCCTTGAAACTTGGGGACCTTGGAGAAGCCCAAGTCCAGAGCTGGCTCTGAGGCCCTGGGGAGAACAAGCCACTGCTCTGGGGACGCAACTCAGTAATTGGAAACCAGAGCCCGGGTATTACCAGGAAACTGAAGTGCTGGGGGGGAATCCGATTTCTAAAGTGCCAATACCGGGGCCGCCCGGGATCCTAGCACTGGGGCAGACGGTGGCAGGGCCGGGTGGCACCGGCAGTTGGTACTCTGGCTCAGAGGACCCTTCATAGCCCCCCATTTTTGTCTCCTATTCCTCAGGTTAAACCAAAACCGGGAGACCGAGAATCAAAATGTCCTCAGGTTGGTCCCCAGCACTTCATGTCCAGGGCTCAGACTGTATTGCCCAGGCAGGCAGTTTGTTTACAGACCAGGATAGGCTGCTGCAGGACCCAAGCTTGGGAGTGTGGGTGGCCTGTGTTGCCCGGAGGCTGGTCCTTGCCATGTTCTCTGGCTTCTCAGTAGAGCTCTCTTTCCTCCACTTCCAACTAGAGCCGCATAGATGCAAATAGGGGGCCTGAAAAACTGCATTTGCAGAGGTTTTGTAGAAACAGAACAGGATGAGCTAGTGAAGGGCAAGGACTCTCCTCCCAGGACCTCCACCTGCAGCACCTATCCAGCCGTAGGCCTTTGAGAACGATGGCAGATACGGAGGCTGGGAGCCTGGGACGCACAGCGTGCTCCCTGAGCCGGCAGGAGAAGGAAGACAGACTGTAAACCCTGAGCAGATCTCGTGTTTGGCTGAGGATGATTTAAGTGTGCGTGGGATTCCACCCATCTGGAATTACAGGACCTCACCCCTAAGTCTTCACCTGGAGGGAAAAAGACATTCCAAACCAAAGGCAAGCTCTGACGCTACACCACAGACTGACACCAAGATCACAATCCCGCCCTCTGAAGAATGAAAGTAGCCAACGCCAAACACACCCTCCATTTCTCTGCATCCGGGACTGCAGGTAGCAACACCTGAGGGTTAAGAGTAAGATTGCTTTGCTTGGTCTGTGCTGCCGTTCCATCCACCTACACCCTCTTCCCTCCCCGCTCAGGTCAATCACTTCATCGGTCTGTGCCTCCTATCTGCTTTGTACCACAAGGCTGAAAATCGAACGCACTTTACAGGGTTAATTGTGAGGGTGGCTGAGGTCACTTCACCTCACCGGGCGGCTTTTCCCAAAAGTGCGCCGGCCGCCCCGAGCGCGCACATGCGCACGCCCCTTGCACGCCAGCGATTTCTATCGTGGTTATTATGTGGGCTTTGAACGCTCACATCTGCAACATATATTTCTTGATTATACGCATCTTGATTATAAAACAACCAAGTGCGTTTTACATCCGGAACTGTCTTGTGAATGAAACTCCTAAATCCAAATTGGAAGAGACATCAACAGATGGAGCACACACAAGTACACGCAAACACACACATGGCTCCTTTCTAACACCTGCAACTCCTGGCCTCAGAGTGCCAGCACCCAATGCTCCTTGTAGGTCTCAGCGTCTATGGCTACATATAGAAGATTGTAAGCCACTACTGGGGGGGGGGGGCACAAATCCCCCCCATAGCTGGCTGGCTGCCAGAAGGCCAAATTTAGCAACCAGCGAGGCAGAAAGTATTCTGATGGAGGGTTACAAGCGTCTTGTAGGGCCCCAAGGAGCCTGTCTGTTGGCTTAAGGGAAAGGTCAGCGCTCCGGTTTTCCTTGAACGGAAAATTTTGAAAGGCCTACACCTACCTACCTTGGGAACTTTCACCCACGTCTAAAAAGGTGAGTCTTAGGACAGTTCGGGTCCAGAGACGGACCCTGTGCACGCCTACACGCCGCACGCCTCTCGCTGGGTACTTCAGGACAAGCTAGACCCAGGGAGCAAGGGACTGACTGCGGGGTCGCGACCCCTGCCTGTGCCCAAGCACGCCCTTCGGCCCCTGCAATTAGCGCCAGGAGGTCAGGAAGAACCCGGACGCCTCTACCCGCAGCTTAAAGCCCAACAGAGTGACCCCAACCCCTCCTGTCCAGTCTGAGACGCCAGCGCGGCCTGGAAATCCCCACGGGCGGACCGGCGCCCGGAGAGTTCCGGCCGGTCCCCGCATCCATCACCTTATACCCACCGATCGGCAAGTCGCTGAGCCCTGCAGGCGGGCTGCAGGGGCCCTGGCTTTCCTGTGTCCCTGTAGATGCGACCAGGAGGAAAAAGAGAAACACCCAAATTTGGAGTTTATATAGTACAAAAATCAAACATCTCGGCAAAGGGAAAGTGGTTCATGTGGGTAGAATTCAAGGAGGTGTCTCTCTTTATCTGCTCCTCTCAATCCAGGTTACACCCCCCGCCCCCCGAACCCCGTGTCTACACATTTCTACAAGGAGAATAAGGAGCTACAGCCCCCTCCTTAAATTTCCAAAAAAAAAAAAAAAAAAAAAATCCCTTAGAGATCTCATCTGAGGCCCAAAGAGGGATGAAAGGGTTGGCTCTTCTTCCGACCGGGGTGAGGAGGTGAGGTGGGGGTGGGGCAGGCTGTCTTTGGGGAGAGCACGTCAGATCGGGGGTGGTGTGATGAGAAACGGTAACAGAGGTGAAGACCCCAAGTTCCAGCACCCCGAAGGCGCTGCCCAGCCGGCTGCGGGACGGCGGGGCGCATTCGTGGGTCAGACAGATAGGTGGCACTCGAAGCCAGGGAGAAAAAAAAAAAAAAAAAAAAAAGCCAGGCGCCGGCCCTGAGTGGCCTCGGCAGCCGCCGCCGCCGCCACCATAAAGCCCGCGGCGAGATTGCGACCGGCGCCAGGTGAGTAATAGGCTCAGAAATCCAGAGAGATTGCGAGCGGGTCACCCCCGGTCCATCAGCGCCACAAGAGTTACACATTAACAGCCCCATATATAAATAAGATACAAAGGAGATTAAAAAAAAAAGAAGAAGAAGACTAGAGGAAAGAAAAGAAGGAAGGGAGGAAGGAAGCCCCAGCCAGGAGGGGCCGGGGACAGGTTTGGGCACTGTCCCCAAATTTGGGGGATGGAGGAAGGCAGAGAGGAGGAGATCCGACTTAGAAAGCCAAGCAGGTTCTGTTTGGATTGGTTTGGTTTCTGCCTTCTCCGCATTTGAAACCGAGCTATTTTCTCCCCAATTTGGGAGCTCCCGCAGCCGGAGGCCGTGAGCCACCCACCACCTTCCCAGGGCGGACAGCGAGGGTTTGGGTCCCAGGGAGGACCGGCCTCTCTGGTGTCCAGGTTCCCGTAAGCACGCTCCAGTCCCTTCTCTCCGGTAGTTCACCCCCCTCCCCCCAGACAGCTGGGGAGAAGCAGTGGGGGTCCCCACGTGCCTGGGCTAGAAAATGGGGGCCGCGCCCAACCCCACCAGGTCTAGGGCTGGATCCTCTTCCAAACACAGGAGGAGGGAGGGGAGGGGCCCCCCTCCTGACCCGCCATTCAAGAGGCCTGAAGGTGACAGGGACGCAGGGCCGGCCTGGCGGGCTCCGGGATGGGGGTTGGGGGCACTGAGCCGCCAGGCAGGCTCCGACTGGGTCTTTGAGTCAAGGCCCCCGGGGCAAGAAAGTCCTAAGGGCTAACTTTAGAGGGCAGTCCCTCGAGCCCCGCCACCCCCTCCCCCAAGGAGCCTGGAGGGTTGGGAGACCGAGAGACTGACAGAGGCTCCACTATTTTTTTTTTTTTTTTTTAAAGATTCAAAGATAAATTGAACTTCAAAAAGATAACTCGCCTAACTGCCTGGGGGCTGGTTAGGGGAAAAGCAGTGGGGCACAGACGTCAGCTTTCTAGGTGACTTTTGCCTTAGTTGCTCCTTGTGGGCTTCACCTTGCCTCCTCACGGCCAGACTAAGTGTGCAACTGTGGGGTCGGGTGAGCACCCTCCTTGGCCTTGCCCTAACCCCCAAGGTCCGTGGGCAAGGGAGTCTGCTTAGCCTTTCCAGGCGCTAGGTCCGTGGGTGCAGGCGGAATTTGTTTTGTGATGCGTGTCAGAAAAGGGAAAGACGAATTAAGAACGAAAACCCTTCCTAGAGCTTATTTCTGGTCGGATTCCTGTGTGTGTGTGTGGGGGGGGGGGTTTGGGGGGGGGGGGGGGGGAGCCGACTTTGAACACCGGGCAAATCTTCCATTAAAAATGAAGTATACGAAGTTCCTCTTTACAAAGTTTAATCAGGCCACTTTTCTCTCCCGTTCGACTCCCTAAATTAAAGAGAAAATATTTTCAAATCGGTGTGGCCCCCTTTGCCAGAGCAAGGGATTTTTGATTTTTGTTTTCAGCTTGAGTGGCATCTCATTTTAGTTTGCTGGGGGGGGGGGGTCTTTAATTATTATTGAAGGAGCAGGCAGGAAGACCATTCCCTTCTAGTTTTCCAACTTCGAGAGACACTCTTGAAGAAATCATTAACACGACTTCCAAACTCATTTCCAATAAAAATTTATTGAAATTTCAGTGATGTTTTTAGAGAGGGGGAAATTACAGAAACTCATCAAGGACTAAACACAAAATATGCCTTCATGGATTTTTTTATTCGTTTTTTATTTAACTTTTTTGTTTTGTTTTGCCTTTAATGGTCGTTTGTTTGAACTGAATCACTCTCTGTACATCAATCCAAAACACCAAGATGAACAATGGCAGGCAAACCTCACTTGGGCTAGAAGATGCCAGAATTTATGAAAAATTAGGAAGGTTACATGGCAGCCTCCTCTGAGCTCACTCCCACAGCAAGCTCAGCCTTCCCCGGAGTGACTTGAGGGAATTTCAAGTGGAGCCAGGAAGGGCCAGTACCTCCCCAATTTTGGTGAAAATAGGAAACTCCCAACCCCGCCCCCCTCCACCAGCTCTTGGACATTTAAAAAACAAACAAACAAACAAACAAACAAACTTTGCAGCCACCTCTACTTGAAAGCATGTAGATGGAGGATCAAAAGCCTATGTTAGTGTGGATTAGCCATCTCCTAACCTGGAAATAAAAACCAAAAAGGCAAAACAAGAATAAAACCTGACAGTAACAGTCCTATTTACAACCAGCTATGTACAATTCAATAAATTAAAGTTTAAGTTTCTGAGCTGTCATATTCCACCTATTTACAAGAGATATCAAATAATTACATAAATACTTTGTCCAATAGTCGTGTTTCCTCTTTATTATTTCTTTTTAAAACCTTGGTATTGCATATACAGTTAAGAGATCTAATGGTCCGGCAGGCACACGAGGCCCTCTACAGCACTTAGATAAAATTAACTCGATTGGTTTCACCCCCAAAGCTTCCCTTTCACCCCACTTCCTCCGGGTTGCTGATTTAAGCAGGGTTGAAGATGAAGGGACTTACATTGTTTTTCTGTAGAAGCAAAAAAACAAAAACAAAAAAACCAAAAACGTCCAAAATAAAACCCAGAAAACTGTAACATGCAAAAAAAGAGAGACCAGTATTGGCCCTTAAAACATCACAATATTAAAAAAAAAAAAAAAAAAAAAGACACAGGGTTCCTTTAATATAGACCAGGCGAGGCCGCTGACCTCCCCTCCCTTCCCCAGCAAAGGTACTCAGCAATCGTTGAGTTTTCAGTCTTCAGAGACAGTTCCATGGGACTTCCTTTGCCCCCATTTTGGTTTTGTTTGCTTGTTTAGGAGAAAAATATTTGACTCCACTTGACACACGAAGGGGGAGAAAAGAGAATCGGGCGATGTCTCTCAAACACCCGCTCCCCTGGCTGCCTGGCCGCCTGGTTCCTCAGCCCCAACTTCTCACACCAGCCTCCACTGAAGTCGCTCGGGACAGAAAAGCCTCTCTGCCCCCTTCCCCCACCCCAACCCCCACGTCTCAGCCAGATTCCACAGCCCAGGAAGACCGGGCCTCTGGTCTCTAGCACGCTCTCTGGAGGGAGTGTGGGACTCCTATCCAGACAAAACTGAAAGGGATGCGGCTCACCTCACGTGGAAGGCCCATGGTTTATTTTACATTTAACAAAGTGCACTGGCAGATTTGACCAAACTGGAATGGAGAGACCTTTGGGGCAGGGGCGGGGGGGGGGCGGTTTGTTTTGTTTTGTCTTTAAGGGGACCCGCTGCAGGCCCTGTCTGGCTTGGCTTCCAAGCAGCTGACCAGCCTCTGGATGCTCTGCAGTTCGCTGGTAGCCGCCTCCTTCTCGGAGCAGAGTTTGGGTGACAGGGACACTGAACTGGAGGACAGCGTGGAGGAGCGGCTGTTCAGTTCGGACCCCGAGTCCACGGCCACCGAGGCCGGGCTGGCTGCCAGCGCGGCGGCTTTGCCGTCTAGGGGCCCCGCGGCAGAAGCCATGGACGGCAAGGCGGTGGCGAGCAGGCTGCTGCTGTCAGGCATGGGGACCGGGATGGAATAGGGGCTGTAACGCAGCCTGGGGCGCATGCTGTTCAAGTTGAGGAAAGGATGGCGGTGCACGGAGGTGGAGGCCGCCGCCGAGGAGGCCGCCGCCGCCGCAGCCATGTACGTGTAGGGATAAGGGAACAGGCTCCCAAAAGGCGACATGGCCAAGCCCTGGAGGAGAAAAAGAAACACAGGGTTAGAGGGTGTGGATCCTGCCATCTGGGGCAAACCGCTTCTTTTGGGGGGGATTTGGGAGGGGGGTGACAATACTTTCCCTAGGTTGCGTTCTAAACTAAGGGGTTAGAAAACTGGCGACTGCCCGGCTATTAAATCTTCCACAGTATGTCAACCACGGTGCCTGACCCTTGGGGCTATTAGCAAGTTCCCATTAGGGCAAACACCTGTTGAATGGCCTCAGAGAGGGCGCACATTATCACAGTGTCTTCAGTTTTGTCCTCTAGAGCTTTCCCAAGTAAGAAAAATTAAGGATGTGAAAGGAAACGCCAGGGAACCGGACCATGTGAGCAAAAAGGGGTTAGCTATCAATATTAGGACAGCAGGCACCCCAGGTGGGAGACGGAGGCAGAAACCCACACAGAAGCAGAATTTGAATGCAAGAGCCTAGGGTGTGTCCTGTGCCCCAGTGCTAGAGATGCCACTAGACTCGGCTGTTCAGGCCGCCCCTCCTCCACCTGGCACCTGCCCGTCTGGGGAGATTTTCAACCGGCTGGAGTTAAGCTAGAAGCCAGCCCTTTCTCCGCTCCCTCCTCTCCCATTAGGGAGGACCACGTGCCTTTTGGCTCAGGCAAGAAAGCCGAATATGCTCAGACAAAACAAAAGGTCAGAGTAGGCAGGAAAAAAAAAAAAACTCAGAAGCTTCCCACCAGGTCCAGACCTTTCTCTCCAGGCTCAGTGCCTGGGCACAGCTGTCTAAAACTGAAACACACACACACACACACACACACACACACACACACACACACACGCCTGCAACTACCAGTCCCTCCCTTCTTTGACATTTCCCACGAGTGCATAACCCATTAACCCTTTGGAAATAGGCTGGCCTGATTGGAGGGTGGTAGTCGGGGAGGGGGGGGGGCTTTGAACTAGGTAGAGGGCTTGGTCATCCCAGACCAAATTCTCACCCAAGGAGTTAGTCACTTGCCCTCCACACACCCCAGTCGCTTCCTGGGGGAGCAGTGGCTATGAGCCTCCAGAGAAACATGTTGGCTGGGAGATGAAATCAAAGAGGCCCCAGTGTCAGACGAGCTCAGCTCTACCAGGGGACCAGCTGTGTGACCTGAGCCAAGGGATTCAACCTCTCTGGGCCGGAGATGATACATCAAATGAGCCAAACTTGTCACAGTGCTAACCGTGTGGCGCTAAGCCATGCGCTGCCTAACTTACAGGAAGCAATTTAAGGAGGATTTGGGGGAGGAGAGTCAGGATTGCTCAGTAAGGCAGGCGCCAACTCCTGCAAAGGGTCAATCAAATATTCCAATAGTTATTACTATAGCTTATTATCTAACACTCTAGGCAAGGGGCTCCGCTGAGAGGGTGGGGGAGAGAGAGAGTGAGAGAGGCTGTCAGTGGGCGGGCAGGCAGGAGCAATACCTGGGAGGCCAGAACATGTTGTTGGAGGTGGAAGGGCAAGGTGGCGGCCGAAGCCCCGGATAATCCCTGCGCCGCAGCAGCTGAGGCCATGGCTGTAGAATCCAGGCCCGAGACGCCGGTGGATGCCCCGGACACTGTGGCCAGCAGTGGCGCCATGCCTGCGGCCATGCTGGAGAAGGCGCCGCCCATGGCGAACTGGCCGGGGTGCAGAAAGAGAGGGTGCCCATTAAAGAACTGTTGGCCGGCTAGGCCTGGGGCGAAGCCCAAGCCCGGAAGGGGCCCCTGCGCCAGGTGCGCGGTGGCGTCCGTCTGCACCGACAGTGGCGCGAAGGCGTCCTTGGCGGGCAGCGCACGGGCCTCCTCCACCTTGGAGGCGCCCAGCCCTTCACGTCCGGGGCTCCTGCGTTCATCCGCTCCCAGGACACGCGTGCTGGACGAGATGGTGGCCGGGCTGTGGCGCGAGTCTGGGGATGCCTTGTCCAGACGCGCGGTGTCGCGGGCCCGGCTGGCTTCCGCGGGGAACAGCTGCGCCCTGGTGCCCGGGCTGCCCTTGTCGCGGCCTGGCTCCTCGGCCGTCGTGGTGGAAATCTTCGCCGCATCGCAGGCCTCGGGGCCGTGCTCCTCCTTGCTTTCAGCCTCGGCGTCACTCTCTGCTTCGCTGGGGCACAGATCTTGGGGAGAAGAGGAATACACCAGGGGAACCAGTGGTCAGTTCCTACCTTTCCTAGCTTAAACCCCACCTCCCAGCAGGGCGCGGTGGCACAATGCCTGGCATGCCAACACTGAGGCGCTGGAGGCAGGAGGATAGCTGGGACTACAGAGTGAGACTATCTCGAAAACAAGACTCCTCAGTGGGCAGGCCATTGCCTGTCTAACCCCGGGGCAAGCGCCCCAGCACCACTCCCAGCTTTCTGTCTGTAAAATGGGTCGATGGTACGGTGACGCCTCTACACTTAAATTCAAGAAGAATGCCAGTGCGTTCAATCTCCTGTAGCCAGGCCCCCAACTGGCAGCTTTTTCTTATTGTAATGATTCTACCATCAAACAAAACAAAACCAGAAAGAAAGCTACAACCTAGCCAAAGCTTTCTCCTCGAATCTCTCTATAGGATTGCAAATTCCGCTTTTTAAAGATGAAAACTCGTGACCAAGAACTCGGCTGGAATACATTCCTGTTACCTTCAGAGTCTGAGGCTCAGAGAACAACAGGGGTCTTGCACTTCCACAAACTTGTGAATAATTTGGGAAGGATTTGTTTGGAAAGAATCCTGACACCTGAATGGGCACAGGCAGAAACTAACACACTCCCCAGGGGCCTTGGATGTGTGTCTCTGTTCCTAAGGAGGCTGTGGGACAATCTGGTCTTTCATTACTTTTTCATCTCTCCTCCACCACACCCTCCTCTGTGGGTGTCCCACCAGAGAAGGAAAAAAAAAGAGAGAGAGAGAGAAAAAAAAGAAAAATGAACCCCACTTTATGTTAAAAGCTTAAATGGATTGAAGACATAAAAAAAACTTTCCGTTTTATTTCACTTAATAATAGGTTTCTTCCCGTTGAGAGCTGTCTTTCTAAATAAATGCTACTTGCTCTTCAAACAGAAAACTGGCCCAAGAGTCAAACCACTTTTTCCGCTCCTACCCCCACCTCCCCAGAGCTGATCCTCAAGGGCTTTGCCTCCTCCCTCAGGTCAGTTATGGCTTTTCTCCTACCACCTTCTCTTTGCCAGGTGACTGGGGATCCCAGGCCTTCTCCCTGCACAACACATTTCCCAGAATTCAGTTGGAGGTTGACCAACAGCTGGACAGTGTTGAGTGGAAAGAAGACAGAGGGAGCAGAGACTGAAGGACAGACAGAGGGACAGAGAGGAGCTTCAAGTGACTTGTGAAACTGTTTTGCCAAGAGGGCACCACGGGACAGACAGACAGGGACACAGACACATACACACATAGGTCAAATGAGAATGTGGGGAGGGTGTTCTGATTTCTCCTAAGTTGTCCTCACTGCAAATGACTCCCGGACTCCCGTTTGCAGAGTCTAGAAAGGCCTACATCTTCCAAAGTGAGCCTGCTGGCTCAGGGCCTTTCCTAACTTCCAAGGCCTCAGGGCCAAGAAAACCTGGAGTCCAGCAAGCAGGGAGGATGCCAGGCTTACCTTTGAGGTTGGATGTCCCTACGGTGGACACAGCCGGAGAGGAGGCCTGGGCAAAGCAGTTGAAGGCTGCCTGCTCACTGGAGGACTCATCCGAAGTCCCAGTCTCCTTCTTGTGTCTCTCATCAAACACCCTCATGGATTGCAGGGTGAGCTGCTTTCTGTGACAGAGGCCCATGCCCATCAGCAGAGAACAACACAGACACTTCCCTGCCTTGTTTTCTTCCCCCCACTTTCCGGAGTGGCACACACCTCACCCCACTCAACGTGAAGTCTGTGAAATGTGCTGGCCACACGGTGGCCAAACAACACAGACTCCAGCATTGTTCTTGGCTGTTTAACTTGGGGGACTATGTATTAGGAAAAAACATGGCCTGGGAAATTTGTTTAAAACCTCAGGACAGAGGTGAGAGTTGGCTGGGGACAGTCAGACAACTGGCCTTCACCCAGCCCACCAAACCCCTGCACAGAAAAGGCTAAAATGGGCAAGAATCATTCACTATCCTCAGCGCTCATCAGTTCACATTAATTGGCATTTCAGTTAATTTCAATATTAGAAATTATCTTTTGTTTTTGTTTCTCAGTGTAGCTTGCTCTCTAGACCAAGCTGGCCTCGATCTCTGCCTGCCTCTTCCGAGATTAAAGGCATGTGCTACCACTCCTGCCTTAGAAATTACTTTTTTTGATGGTCAGTCCCAAGAGAATAAAGTTTAAAAATTAGTAGATGATTTTCTGGTGTGTAGAAAAATCTTTAAAAAGGGACATGAGTAGGGAGCATGGCTTTTTCTATAGTCTTCAGCTGTTTGCTTAAAGCAAAAAACAAAACAAAACAAAAAAACAAAAACCAAAAACCTGTTGCAGAGAGACCCATGGGGGGGGGAGGAGTCCTGGATTTCTCAAGGGGCCTCAGCTCCAGGCTGGTGCAATCTGAGAGATGAAGTTGCAAAGATTCCAGAAGAATTTGGTAATGGCTTGGTCCCTTCTTGGGTCTTGCTCAGAATGAATGCCAATTAACTAATCATTAATAGGCATCGCTATAATTTGTTACTCTTGAGATCTTTCTCTGGTCTGGTCAGAACTTAGTTCCCTTAAAGCAGTAAGTAGCATAGAAAGTTCTCCAAGAGGCCACTATGGAGCTGGCGCCCTCCCCATCCTTTTCAATCCAAGTTCAAGCCTAGGAAAAAAAAATTCCTTCAATTTTCCCCTAAATTAAAGTCTCTACTCACCTTTTTTCTCTCCTGCCATTCCCAGTGTCCCGAAAACCTTTTGCAAAAGGATTGTTGTCTATTTTTAACTGAGTTATCTAGAAGAGAAGACACACAAGCAAGATAAACTTTAGCTTCACTTTCTAGAATGTTCTAAATGTGTTCCCCCCCCATCCCACTTCTCAGTCACTGGGATGGGCCAGGTAAAAGTGAGAGAAGGTGACTCCAAGAAGACAGGAAGGGGCTGAAATACCAAAAAAGACTGTAGCAACATTTCCGTGCTCTAGGGAGCCAAGCAAGGATTACACTCTGAAGTTATCCAAAGAAATTTTCTCCTTTGAACAGTTTAGATTTGGAAAGGAGACTCTTTCAAAGCAACCAAGAGGCAGTCTATAGATATGAGTTAGCAGACTTCTGTTATACATATCAATTAATTATAAAGTATCTTAAAATGCTATTTCCTGATGCTTTCCAACACCCCATCACACACACACACACACACACACACACACACACACACACACACACTCACACACACCATACACCAAAACCTTTTCTGTGAATCTAGTAAAATTAATTATGGGGTTTCACTACCTTGCACTAAAGTGACACTCCTCCCCCCTGACACAGAGGCATGAACAGGGTTAAAGAAATTATCATACTGAAGACTTACAAATTTAAAAGAAAGGAATGGTCACTGGTAATATTTGTTTTTATTTATGTTATTTATGTTATTTATTTATTTATTTATTTATTTATTTATTTATTTATTTATTTATTTGCCACCACCACCATTAGGTAAAGAAGGACCCCTGGCCCTTGATTTTTTTTTTAAGAGCCAAGTTAATTGATGTAACTTTCACAGGATTCTGGGTCTATCTAGAGGAGCCTGCCTTTTACAGATTGTAATCTTTTAAATCTCCTCTTTTGGTAGGCAAACTATATATCCAGTTACCAGGAGGTGGAAAGCTGTGTGTTGGTTTTAGGTTCTGTTATTTAAAGTAAAGGATGCCAGACATCAGGTTTTGCATGAGGCAAGTAAAAGAGCTGCTGGTGACTTGACATTCAGCCTAGGAAATGTGAGGATCAGTGTTGACAGGGGCCAGGGATAGAGACCGTGAGTTCAAAGTACAAGGCATTGCTTGGTGAACTCTCCCTAGGCTCCAAGGCTCAAGCGAAGAGGAACAGGGGTCCTCAACCCCTTCCCATCCACCACCATCAATAGAGACTCTTCTCTGGGCCTGTGTTCTATCTAACCTTCAGGCCAGGAGAACTGCAGATTCCAGGTGTGGCCTCATTCGGGAGCCCCCTTTTTAACCTCCAGGTTCAGGCCCAAGGAGGAAAAACTTTAAGATGAACTAGTGACTATGTCCACCTTTAAGTGGGAAGCCTCAGAGATCAAATTAACATGAGCCCTTATCAAGGTGCACACACCACCACCACCACCAGCAGCAGCAGCAGCAGCAGCGTAAAAAAGTAATAAACACAAATAATCTCTCCAGGATTTCTGGCTACAAGAGAAAAAGCCCACCTCAACTCAGGTTCTCCTGACAGGATCCCAGCAGCTTTCCACCTTACATTGCGAGCTGGTTCCTTCCAGTACTCTTATTTTTTACCCTTCCTCCTGAAGAGGATGAACTAGGAAATGCCAGAAGACCAGCCCCTGGGGCTGGGACTGGAATAGCAATTTATAACACAACAGGCATCAGTTTCCCAGCTGAGAGTTTTGGTTCTCCCCCTCAAAGGAATCAGGCCTCTCCCCAGAAGGTCAAATCACACAAGAAAATTCCAGACTTTCTGGCCAATGCCCTGGTAACTTTCTCATTCGTGAAGGCAAGAAAGCTTAAAGGGAGAGAGAGAAAAGCCCCTGGGTTACCTTGTCATTCTGATAGGCAGTCACGGCAATGAATTCCGTTTCTGGGAACAGGTATGTGCGAAACGTACTATACGGCAATTTCAAAATGTCGTTGGCTCTGACGATGTGGAACCGGGGCTGGTACTTATGCATAGAGTTTAGTATAGTCTGTAGAAGCAGGGAAGGGAACGCGCACATTAAAAGAGACAGCAGGGAAATGGTTTAACAGTACAAAAAAAATTTTAGGTTCCCCTGCCAAGCTGGGAGCGTCCCCACTCCTGGGTCCAAAGCCCACCTCCTGGGGTACATTTCACTCCACAGATGTTATCTTCCGGAGACTCCAAATTGTTCCTCAGCATCTAAATCGAGCCCCCCAACCCCACCCTTGCCATCTACATATTCATTCGTACCTTGAACCCTAGCCTACCTGGGTCCCAAAACTATAATTCCCCTGCCACGTTGCGTGATCACTTGGGAAGGCCAAAGTCTTAAAAGATAGAGAAAAACATGCATTTTAATTTACAAAATGATTCAGTACTTTAAGCGCCCACTAATTGACAAGCCCAATCCACTTAAGGCCTTGAGAGGCTGAGCTCCAGAGAGGAATATTTATGCCCTAATCAAATCAAGGGTTTCAAATGCAATCCCTGTCCGCTTTAGATATTTCCGAGCCATTCACGTCTTCCTGGGCCTAATCTTTCTGCTTATTCCTCGCTTATCACTTTGTTTATTCTATTGAAATGTTGGGGAGGGGCAGGGGACAAGCAAAGGTCCTCTGGCCTGACTTTCACAGGCAATCCAAGTCTTTTCGGTAAGTCTCTAAAGACACTCACTCACAGAATCCCCTCATGCATTCCCCAGTACACACGGACCATTATTTTTAAACACTAAAGATTTAAGCTCATTCCTATTACATCTGACTTTCACCCAAGTCCAAATCGCTTTTAGCAAAAGCAAATATACTTTAAAAAAAATTGCATTCACAGCCTTGAACTAAGGCGGTCAAGGCTTCGAACACCCAACTCTCCCAAGAAATGACACGGCTGATTTCAATAATAATAATAATAATAATAATAATAATAATAATAATAATATTAATGTTTGTAAGCAAAACGAACCCAATCTTTAAAAATCGATTCACAACTTTTTATTCTTAGTATTGTCTCTACACCTCCAGATCCAGCACCCATCCAAGACCTTTGATTGCTATTCCGGTAAATTCTTCTAGAATGTCAGTCTCTGCATTGTCCAGGCAGCAAGACACCCCCTCCCACCCCTGCCCCCCAAAATCTACTTTGCAACTAGGTTGCAAATTGAACAAAGTTGGCAACCAGCAGCCAGAGAGGTGTCTGGGCCCAAATTGAGAGTTTACAAGGAAGCCCTACCTCCTGGTAAGTCTTACTGATAGTCAATGAAACTTACAAATCCGTGCTTATCCGAAATGTTGTTGGTGAGTTTCAGTTTGTGGAAGGTGACGACCTTGGACATCCATTGCTCCCCCGTAGCAGGGCTGTCCGGGTGTATGTACATTCTCTTTGGCATTTCGGGGTCTGCCTTACCGGCCACCATCCACCGAGAATTGTGAAATTTATATCGGCAGTCATCAGCAGCTATAATGTCCATCAATAAAATATACTTGGCCTTTTTATCCAGCCCAGAGCACCTCACTTTAAATGGAGGGAACATTCGCCTACAAGAGTAAAACACACACGCACACACAAAAAAAGGAAATAGATAAATAAGTCCGGGTAAACGGCTCAGGACCTCGGCTGGCTTGTTTAGCACTATCTAAAAAAGCCTGAGGCTTTCGCTGGGACCAGGGACTCTGTAAGGCAACTGTGAGTGAAAAATATGCTCAATTTCACATCGTTTTCCTATCCCAAGCCTCAAATGAAATTAATTACAGCAGCCTTTTCTCTCTAAGAGGATTTACTATTTCTTTAAGAAGCATGTTTGTCTGTGTGGCCGTTTGGATTGCCCTCTGTAAAGAGAAATGATGAGTATATTTAGTTTGAGGCAGCTAAAGCCAGGGTCTTAAGGAACTGTGGTTAATAATGGTTAGGATTTTCCACATGCCCGCTGATGAGAAAACATTAAAACTTATCAGGGAAATGAATGCCCAGTTATGGACCGAGGCTGGCTCAGGTTGGAGGCAGGCTAAGCGCCTGGGCCTGGTAACGCATTCGTGATTTAAGTTGCAAACCACATTCCTCTACTCTGTAGGCCACTGCAAGACTCTGCTGTTTAATTTCCCAGAAGTGCTGGCTTTCCCTACTTTTGACTTAAAAGGAAGTCCCCGGTTATGAAAACCGACTAAATGTCTTGTGGGTTGGAGAAAGATCTCATGCCAAACTTTGGCCTCAAGTAGTTTGGAAGGCGGCTGGAAGTGGGGTTTTGTTTTTGTGCCCTCTTAACTGGTATCTCGATAAACCTCAATGCTTACCTACACGTATTTTCCTCTTAAACCAGGGGTTTTAAGTCCTGGGGCCGGTGCCCTCTCCTTGTTTTGGCCAGGCAAGGGCACTCGGCGTTATGTAAAGTATTAATAATAATCAAACACAAAAGTGGGGTGCATATCCTCATGGGTTCCTTGGGTCTACATGCATAACCTTAAATATAAAAATCGCCTGCTCAGTCGTCCCTGGACTTGCGAGACGTAGGAGAAGGCAACGGGAACAGAAACCCGAATGTCCTTCGCCCTTCCATTGATTTCGCTCTGTCTCAGACAGTCAGGCTTAGGCCCCTTCAGTCCCAGAGACTAGGCTGAAGAGTAGGAAGGACTCAAGGATTCCAATCCCTACGGGTCTCCAACCCCCGTACAAGGGGGGCTTAACTGTCTGTCTTGGCAAAGAAAATCAAACAGACAAAAACCAAACAGAAATAAAGGTGATTTCAGAATGGCTTTCCAAATGCGCTCCCTGCAACAGGGTGCTGCAGATGTCAGCTGGCCGCGTCTCCTTCAACGCAAAACACCCAGTATTCTGTAGGAAACCGGGAATACGGGTCTCTAAGAACCATGCATTGGGGCCCAGGTAGGCTCCAACTTTCTGACCCTCAAGCAGAGCCCTGGAGTCTTTACACAGTCGGGGGACAGGCAGTTTTCGTCCCAAACGTACCAATAAGGCAGAATCTACTGTCTTAAGAGACAGACAAAAGGAGACATGAAAAACTTTTGATTTTGAGGGAGGGGGTCCCCCACTGATTACTCACCTCCCCGACTTCGTAATGACCATCTCTGTACCCCGCTTGTGAAACTGGTCCCAAAGTTCCTTGGCCTCCAGGTGCACCTTGGGGTCGTCTTCCACGTCCTCTTCGGGTTCCATAGTCTTCAGAGGCCTCAGATGCGCCTGGGGTCCCAGGGATGAGAAAGGGATGCCAGTCTCCGCAGCCCCCACTAGCTGATCCATGATGGGCTTAGCTAGGGCTCCAGGCAGCGAGAGCGCCGCGGCGGCGCCGTTGGGAGGCAGCGTTAGCGTGGGGAAGAAAGGCGGCTGGTGGCCCAGCACCGCACTCATGGCGAAGTCCGGCGCCCGGTGAGGTAGGAACGGATGATAGGCCATGCTTGTCCCAGGGATAACCGGATCTCTCATGGAGAGGCTCATCCACTCCAGACAGGGAACCAGTCCGCAGCTGCTGGGTTGGCTCCGCTTTTGTTGTCGCTTTTCAAAAATAATAATAATAATAATAATAAAAATTTCAACAGCAACACATAGTTCTGTTTTTGTTTAAAATAAGAAGGGGAGCGATTTACAATGAAAGCGTCCGAAAGGGAGGGGGAGTGTCTTTTGGGGGAGAGAATGCCGCTTTTAGAGAGGACGCGGCGACAGATCGGGAGACATCGCCGCTGCAGGGGCTGTCCTGGTGCGCGGAGTGTGTTTGAAAAGCCGCTCCTGGAAGTCGGTTTCAGTAGGGCGAGAAGCAAGCAGGGGCTCGACTGACGCCCGAGCCCTGTGGCTTAGCTGGAAATAGACTCAGCAGCCCTTTCCCGGGGTGGCTCCCCGGCTCCCACGCTCTTTGTTGCCAAAGCGCAAGGTTCTCCGAGACTTTTTTTTTTTTTTAACCTTTTTTTCGTCTCCTTTCCCCCGCCCCCTATCTCTTCTCTGGCTCTCTCGTAGGAGGCGTCTTAGTTGAGCTAGACTCTGGCTTTCGCAGGCAGCGAGATCAAGGAGGGGGAGGAAAAGTCTCTCCTTAAAAATCAACAACAACAACAAACGATTTTAGCCCCTTTCCAGCGGCGCTATCAAAACTGGGAAGCTGGCTTCGGTTCGCGCTCCTCCTCGCTGGCTCCGAGCTGCGCGCAGTGTCTGGGTGGCGACCGAAGGGTGCCTGCGATCTCCTGCCTCGGGGACTCGGCTGTCTTCCTTGGGCTAAAAAAAAAAAAACGTGAGCGAAATCGCCTTCCTAAAAATAATAAATTAAAAAAAAATATCAGCGTCCGGCGCGCAGGGCGAGGGAGGATCAAGAAGACGGGTGCAAAAAAAAAAAAAAAAATAGGAAAGGAGGAAGAGAGAGAGGAGTGATTGGGAGCTGGAGTAGGCGAGTAGAGGGAGGGAGAGAAAAAGAGAGCAAGCGAGCACCTCGCCACCCTCCTCCGCCTCTAGAATTCCCCGGGCGTCTGCTCGGCGGCTCTGGACTGTCGGGCTGCGCTGTGGGCTGCGGGAGCCCGAGGCTTGTTGATTGGCTCTTTGACGCTTTCGGACCAATTGTGTGGCTTCATAGGCGTGGTTTTCACAGGTCGAGTGCTGGGGGAATAGAGCCGAGTTATAAAAAGAAGGTGTCGGAAACTGGAACGTCGCTGCGCCGCGCGGTACTACGGCCTGTCCTGCGTTTATGTCAACATGATCAGAGGGGAGGGCGGGGAGCCACCGGGGCGCCGCGCGCACCAAAGTCGCCTCTAGGTGGCTGCTCCAGAGGAGAGTTCGCCAACAAGCCTGAGAGCTCGCCCGGGCTCCTCAGCTCAGCCCAACGTCTGAAAGGCCTCAGCCATCCAAGCCAAGGGGATCCGGGGAGGAGGCAGGGCCAGGGAGGAAGGGGGAGGGAGCGAGGGCGGGAGCCAGGCTGCCTGCCCGGCAACCGAGGCGCCGGGCAGGGGCGCTCGCCTCTCGCGCGCTCCGAGAAGCCCGCGACCGCTCCTCCGTGCAGATCTGCAGCTTCTTCCCTCTCCCGCGGGCCCCGGGCTAGCCGAGCCGGCCGCCGAGCCTCCCGTCCGAGCAAAGCGCCTTTAACAAAAGCTCCAGGCTCGCGCGGCTCTGCAGCCCCACGTGGAGCCGCCTCTAGGTCTAGTCCTCTAGCTCACGCGCCCGGGGGCTCCGGCTTCTCCAGCCGCCAGCCTACGGGATCCCACAAACCTTTCCCTCCCCGGTGCGCGCTCCCCACCCGCAGCCACGTGCAGAGACCCAAACGCCCCCTGGGTATCCGTACCCGAACGCGCGCCAACACACTGGGACCGAGCCCCACGCGGAAAAACACACGCAAACACGTACAAGGCCTGCGCGCCCGGCCCAGTCTACGCTCGCTCTGCGATCCGGACTCGTTTTGCTCGTTTTGTTTCCGTCTTTCCCTCTTTTCTTTCTTTCTTTCTTTTTTTTTTTTTTTTTAGTTGTGTTTACTGACCCTTTTGAGCCCAGTTTCTCTTCCATTCGGAGGCGGATACCGGCGTTCCACCCGGATGGGGGTGTGGGTGTAGAGAAAACGGAGCCGCTGGATCAAGTGAGTGCAGCGACCGTGGGCCTGTCTCCCCCGACTCCCCCAACCCCCCAAGACTCTGCCCTCACCTCCCCGTCCAGCTAGGCGGGGAGCTGCCGCTCTCGGCTGGGAGAGCTGGTTGGGGGAGGTGCCTCAGCCTCGTATCTTTCCGAGGCATCGCTCTTATCTCCCGGAGCCTCGGTTCCTTCTCCACCCCGGGGACTTATCTTGGCACAAGTCGGGGGCGAATTTGTAAAACAAACCGTGAAACGCACCCCACCGCCCTACCCTCAGAGGTCGGGAGGCTTGGTCCCTGCTCATCCCAGGTTGGGGAGGAAGGCAAATTGATGAGACTTTGATAGGGTGACGCTGTTACTGCAGTTTATGCCGGAGTCCCCCAAAACCTCAGTCCTTGTTTGGGGGTGGGGGTGAGCTGGGCCATCTCACTTTTTTTTTTTTTTTTTTTTTTTTTTTAGTTTTCCTGGGACAAGACCTTCTTTGCTTTGACACGGAACAGAAAAGGGGCTGGTTTCCGGGCCTAGAGATTAAGCTTTGAATATTTCCGTGTGGACCATTTGCGCCTAGATTTTTTTTTTCCCCTTGAGGACCACCCATCCAGCACACACACACACACACACACACACACACACCAACTGCAGGTCAGAACTGGCAGCTACTGGGTGACTGACTAGGCAGCAGCTCCCTCTTCTAGGTAGGGAAGAACGTTTGAGGCCACGAGAGCTTTTACAGTCTCGCATGTTTTGATGTACAAGGTTAAGAGAGGTTGGTGCCCGCCCTGAGCTTTGCCACATGTGGCCAATGAGAATAGAGTCATTCTGTGGACTTAGTCTGACTCGCCGCCGTCTCTCCTCTCTCTTTCCCCTTCTCTATCTCTCTGTGTCCGTGGCTGAGAAGGGAGAAACGGGACAGAAGGTGGTACCCAAGGCAGTGGCTCATAACACCCTCTTTCCCAGTTCCCGGTTCCAGATTGCCTAGGGTGCAGGAGGCCAGGCCAGGGCCCTCTCCCGCTCGGGCCACCGAGTTCTCCGCAGCTAGAAGCCCCCGCCCCCCCGCCCCCTTGCCTGGCCACTCTACCCAGAGAAGCCCTAGAACCCAACTGTGCTTCGCCCGCCTTGGCCGGTTAACCTCGGCACTGGAGTGCAGGAAAGCAGTTCTGTAATTGCAGTGTGTTTGACCCCCTGGTCACCCACGCGATGCCCCGAGGGTCCACGAGCTAGCCGGAAAGACCTTGGCAGAGGATATCCAGCATTCTGGCCTCGGAGATCTGTTCTGCAAAAGCACGGCGAGCTCGCTGAATTTTCACGTAACTCTCTGGCCTTGCTTTTTGGCTCCAGCGTGGACCGAGAGCAATTTCTGAGCCTCACATTACCCCACCACACACACACACACACACACACACACACACACACACACGCCCTTCGGTTGCCTATTTTTGACTGTAGCTCTAACTTAACCTCGGGGTCACCCCAGTTTGCCACTTCTGGTGTCCACCCCTCACTCCCGTTAGCCAGGAAAAGGGGGGCGGGTGGAGGAAAGTTTGCGGGATTCGGAATCGAAAATGTCTACATGTTGCTAATGGTCTACAAACTTCCGCCAATTACAACTGACCTCCCAGACGCTGCCCCTGGAGGCTCGCGTTCTGCCAGGGAGGCCGTGGCGATGCTAGGATCAAAAGCAGGAAGGTGCGAACTCCTCTTCGTCTTTGCGTGCCCGCCGCGTCCCCCCCCCCCCCCCGGTGGGTGATAAACCCACTCTGGCGCCGGCCGTGCGCTGGGTGATTAATTTGCGAACAAACAAAAGGGGCCTGGTGGCCACTGCATTAGGGTTAAACATTGGCCAGCGCCTTCCGCAGGCTTGTGGCCGGCCTAGCCTCCTGGAGAAGCCACAAAGTTAGCGCGCCTCCGGCTCCTTCTAGCTGCTGACCCGGTGCAGCTTCCTAGACTCCCTGATAGAATTTAGTCAGCCTTTTCAACCAAATGGAGAACGACGTGAAAGATGGGAATCCAGTATCTCTAGAAGAAATATCCTCCCGCCTTTTGCAATAGATTTTTTTTTTCCTTTGCAATACAGGGCCTGGAATTTTGAACACTGCAATGCTGGCAGCTTCTGAGGCAAAAGAGAAGCAACTCCTGCCCCACGCTGACCCTTTTGTGACCGAATGGTGTTTATCTGAAATGAGAGAGAGAGAGAGAGATGGGCGAGCTGGTTGGCTTCGTAAATTTTCTCTTGAAGGCCCCTTCGCTTGTGTGAGGTCTGGCAGGACTCCATGAGGGACGTGTTCTACTCTGTGCCCTCTTAAACACTCACCCTGTTCACCACACAGCTTTATTCAGTCCGAGGCGTCGCTCTATTGGATGTCTTGTTGACAGGAGGGCATGGAGTTTCTCCTGGGGGTCTGGGGCCTGATTATGAAATTGGGAGAAGTTAACTTTCCTTGGGAGGGAGTTCTTGGTAGCCTGGCAGAGTGGAAATGGCTCTTTGGGGCCTTATACCCTGGCTCATGTGATCCTGGAAACTCAGCCCCCTTTGACCCTGGTATACTTGGACCCTATGGCAGAGTGTAGGGGTTTCACTCTCCTTTTCCGTTCTCCCGTGGGAGACAGGGTTTCCTCACCGTGGGCTCCAGCCTGGCCTCTCTCTCTGGGCTCCTGGTCTACTCCCAGCCAGCTCTGCTATTACTACCAAGTGAGAGCTTTTGTCAACTTTGGTGACCAACCCACCCCCCTCCCCCAGGCCCTGACTGTTGTGCATACTCTCCTTCCATCTTAGAAAGAGCCTGAATTCAGGGTCTTCCTTACCTCCTGTCCCCCAAAACTTGCTAGGAGAGCTTGGGTCTCCCTAGGCTAGTGGCTAGTGGCTTGGTCCTTTGAGGAAGGGTTAGTTAGTGTCCTTGCAATTTTGCCTAGGACAGGCACAAACCTTTAAACAGGGCAGAGAATACACCTCTGTTTCCTTTCCCTCCCTGTCACTTTTCCCTTCCCCCATTCTTCTTCCTTCCTTCTTTTCTTTTGTTTTTATACTTTATTTTCTCCCTCCCTCCCTTCCTTCCTTCTCTCTCTCTCTCTCTCTCTCTCTCTCTCTCTCTCCCCCATCTCTGTTCCTGTCCACTTAGAGTTCTCATGAACATCACTGGGTCTCCTTGAACACCCCTGTTCTTCTCATCCTCTGAGGCTCATGCTACATTTTTTTTTCCTGTCTCTATCACCCAGCCCTCCTTGATGCTTCTCTTGCTTCTTTGTGGCTTTTAGTTTTTACTTTGCTATCTCCCTAGCTGTCTTGGCTCCTTCTAAGTTTCTCCCTGTTATTCTGATCCATCTCCCCCACCCCCTTTTCCAGTAACTTTGACAGGCTAGAGATACCTAAGAGACACTTTTGCCTTCTTGCTTTGACTGGGAGAGATTAAAAAAAAAAAAAAAAGCTAGCATGGTCCATTTGTCCAAGTTTCTCCTTTTCGTATTAACTTTCCTAAAGTTATTTTTGTTGCTGTTGTTGCCAGTACCCCTGATCCCGATGTGCTGGGATTCCCTCCTCTCTCTAAGGCAAAAACCCAGAATGAGGGGCTTCAGGCCAGCCTCCAAAAAAACCCAGCTCCTAGCTCCTGCCAAGCTCCATCAGGATGTGTCTTTCCAGTAAGGCGTGTTTTTTTTTTTTTTTTTTCCTTCTTCTTTGTCCTCTGACATCCTTCTAAATTATTGATCAGGGCAATCCAGTACAGGAGTCTGAGGCAGTGAGTGAGAAAGACACTCTCCAGCTTGAGGAAGCCGTCTTTTTAGTAGCCAGGCTTGCATTGGGTGCCAGTTGGTTTATGCTGCTTCTAGGGCGTCATTCTTTATGTACTTACTCGGTGTTTATCATACCTCCTGTTAATGTAAATATGGTTCTGGCAGAGTCTAAATGGAGAGATTTCATCCTCCACATGATTCTTGTTAGCAGCCACCCCTCATCAAAGAGGGTCACCTTCACAAAATGACAAATTTGGACATAGCTAGTAATTCAGATAAGTTGAAGTGGAGGCAGTAAGGAGGGAGAAATGAGGAGTATGGGGAGGGTGATGTTTTCTTTTACATCTTCAAAGTCCCTCCCCCATTGAGAAAAGGAACTAATTGTGGTTTCCTAATGTCAAGCCCAAAAACATCTAGGTTCTTTGTGTGTGTGTGTGTGTGTGTGTGTGTACATGTGTGTGTTTTACTCATTGTTTAAAAAGAAAAGTAAGAATGAATATTACTTAATCCAGCAGAAATGAATTACAAGGAAAGAGCTGGAATTTCTTTCTTTTTTTCTTTCTTTTAATTTGACTTAGAATCTACAAGATGCAGGACAGAGCTGATCACCACCCCCACCCCCCAGGCATTTTGACCATCTCATACCTCTCTTTATTCAATACCATCTTTCCAGATTAGCGGGTAAGCAGCCCTTCAGTGAGACATGCAGGCATTTTATCTATCCTTTCTCTCTCTCTCTCTCTCTGTGTGATGTCCTTTTAGGAGAATGAAAGGAAACAACAACCCAGGCATCAGCCCTCACCTGAAGCTTGAAGGTGGCTTTCAGGAGAACTCACTTTTACTTGCTCTTCTGGTGCTGTGTCTGTTATTAAATGCCAGGGCTATGAAGGGCTTAGAGTGTTACCCCCTGGGACCACAGGGCAGAGGGGACAAGAGAACACTGTAAGGGAGACAGCATGGCAAATTCAGTGGCTGCTACTCCCAGGAAGGTTGACAGGCCCAAGAAAGATG